AAAAAAAAAAAAAGTTACACAAAACCCTACAAAATTAGTAGGCAAGGTGCCTGAAAATACTTGGGGCTCATTGTCTTAACTGTCTACAATTTAAGTTGATGGTGCTAAGCTTCAGGTTGCAGTGGCTAAAAGCAAGAGTGGTGTCTGAATTGTTATCAAAGCTGCCACCTCCATGAGCCCTATCTGCTAGGCATATTTGCAGGGGTGCCGCAACAATTTGTATAGTAGGGGTGCTCAGAGCCATTGAACCCAACGGTAAACCCTGAATATTATGAAAACCACTTCAAGCCAGGGGCTGCAACAGCACTCCCAGCACTTATGCATATATGTGAAAGTTTTCCCATCATTGATGAGACCAGTTAAGATTAACTGGTGTTAGCAACACGGGGAGCCCAGTGTAGACTCTGCCAATCTGAAGTATCTATTACACCTGCTTTCTGCTGAGAAGTTGAGAATGTGGTGCAGACACTGAAAAGCAGTGGAGAACCACCAAGCAGAACCGATTGAAGGTGGTGGAGCGGTACTCATTGGCACATAACATAAGTTTGTCACTGTGATTTGAAAGTCTGAAAGATAGCCCAAGACTTGGACACAATTTCTGATGGTTCCTATTAATAAACAGAGGAACCCAGCTATATGTGGAAATTACCAATCTCTTCAGTGACATACAACCAAAACACCGTTGTGCGTTATCCTGAAGAAGATTGTGCCCAATATAGAGAACTTTCTGGCTAAAGAACAAGCCCATTTTAGACCAAAAAGGGGTATAGAGGAGCAAATATTCAATCTGCATGTGCTATGCGAGAAAATGCTGGAGTATGTCTTTGTTAAGACATTTGACAGCACATTGCCCAAAGAGGATTGTACCATCTTGTACAGTAACTCCTCACTTAAAGTCCTCCCGATTAACATTGTTACGTTGCTGATCAATTAGAGAACATGCTCGTTTAAAGTTGTGCAATGCTCCCTTCTAATGTCATTTGGCAGCAGCTTTCTTTGTCCACTGCTTGCAGGAAGAGCAGCCCCTTTCAGCTAGCTGG